CTTCAGTTACCAGGACAGCCACCTTTATCTCCTTGTCTTCTTCATACTCCTCTTCAGTGCTCTACATCACTCCTCCTCTCCAGATGCCAGCAAAGCCACAACCATGGCTCGAAGCCTCCCCAGCCACAGACCCAGCCCTTGCAGACCCCAGCTACTGGCAGCACAACTCCCTGCTTTCCAACCAGAAGGACTTTCTCCTCAGCATTTTCATAGATTGACAACACTGCTGGCATCACCAGGAGAGGTGGCCCACAAGATGGAGGCAGTGACAGCACAGTAAGGATGTGATTATCGCTTGTGAAATGGAAGACAAGTTCTCCTTCCCGATATGCACCCTGAATGCTCACGGTGAAGTGGCAGAAGTGGCTATAGTGTGCCCCCATGCGCTGTGACCATGATTCAGCGAGGACCCCACTCTGACATGTCATAGAATCATAGAATAGTTAGGGTTGGAAAGGACCTTAAGATCAAGTTCCAACCCCCCTGCCATGGGCAGGGACACCTCTCCCTAAACCATATTACCCAAGGCCTCGTCCAACATAGCCTTGAACACTGCCACGGATGAAGCATTCACAACCTCCCTGGACAACCTATTCCAGTGCCTCACTACCCTCACAGGAAAGAATTTCCTCCTTATATCCAATCTAAACTTCCCCTGTTTAAGTTTTAACCCATTACCCCTTGTCCTATCACTACAGTCCCTAATGAACAGTCCACCCCCAGCATCCCTATAGGCCCCCTTCAGATACTGGAAGGCTTCTATGAAGTCTCCATGCAGCTTTGTCCCATCACAACTGTCACGATTCATGCCAAAGCAGCAGCCAGATATATACCTATATTTTTCAGTGAAGCAGTTATCTGATTTTTTTCTTTTCTTCAAACCCTCTATGAGATAAAGGCATTCATGTAGAATCATAGAATCATAGAATAGTTAGGGTTGGAAAAGACCTTAAGATCATCAGGTTCCAGCCCCCCTGCCATGGGCAAGGACACCTCACTCTAAACCGTATCACCCAAGGCCTCATCCAACCTGAAAAGCCAATTGCTCCCCTTGTAGAATCAATGATGGAATCATAGAATGTTTTTTCATGGAATTTAACTAACTGAATTATGACCATTTACATGTAAGAGATTTACACTGAAACCCTCAGGTCTGGAAAGCCGTACAGACCAATGTGTTCTCTCAGTCTTCATCAACCCTTGGTGTTGGCTTGTGTGAGAAACCTCATATTGGCAAGGTGAAAATAAGCAGAGGGGATTACTTTTGACACTCACCAGCCCTCAGAAAGATGCATCAGATATAGCCTAAAGACTAAAATTGAGATTTGGTGTGTTCTTCACCAAAAAAACAAAAAAGTGAAGCAATGCACAGCACAGCTACTCCCTTCTCATGGGCAAAAGTTGTTGCTGTAGTTGCAGGCTCCTCCTTTGGCTGGTGGAGTGGACTCCACCAAGTTGCACGTGATGGATGCCACAGATACAAATCCAGGAAGATATGTAGCCACAGATATTTGGTATCTAGAATTACATAAGGCAATTAATATAAAGCATGAAGGAGTTCTGCAGTTATGAATATGTTTATAGATCGTGAATATCTTTTACCAGTCCTGTGTTAGAACAGCCTACACAGCTACAGGCTGGGCAGAGAAGAGATTCAGAGCAGCCCTGCGGAGAAGGACTTGGGGGTGCTGGTCGATGAGAACATGAACATGAGCCAGCAGTGTGTGCTTGCAGCCCAGAAAGCCAACCCTATCCTGGGCTGCATCAAAAGGAGTGTGACCAGCAGGTCAAAGGAGTTGATCCTGCCCCTCTACTCTGCTCTCATGAGACCTCACCTGGAGTATTGTGTGCAGTTCTGGTGTCCTCAACATAAAAAGGACATGGAACTGTTGGAACAAGTCCAGAGGAGGGCCACGGGGATGATCAGGGGACTGGAGAACCTCCCATATGAAGATAGGCTGAGAAAGTTGGGGCTGTTCAGCCTGGAGAAGAGAAGGCTGCATGGAGACCTCATAGCAGCCTTCCAGTATCTGAAGGGGTCCTATAGGGATGCTGGGGATGGACTCTTCATTAGGGACTGTAGTGGTAGGACAAGGGGCAATGGGTTAAAACTTAAACAGGGGAAGTTTAGATTGGATATAAGGAGGAAATTCTTTCCTGTGAGGTTAGTGAGGCACTGGAATAGGTTGTCCAGGGAGGTTGTGAATGCTTCATCCCTGGCAGTGTTCAAGGCCAGGTTGGATGAGGCCTTGGGTAATATGGTTTAGAGCAAGGTGTCCCTGCCCATGGCAGGGGGATTGGAGCTTGATGATCTTGAGGTCCTTTCCAACCCTAACTATTCTATGATTCTATGATTCTATTAAATCCCTTTTAAATGAAAGGCTAAAATTAGTCAATTAGCTCAGGGTGTGCATGTTTCCTTTTCCAGCAACTCCTTGCTCAGCAGGATAGGGGAATCTGACCTTGTGTAAGAATTCAAGAATTTACACTAATTCTGTTTAAAACACTAGATTGTTTTATTACTTTAAGTCTTTCTCCTCTCTAGTTATGTACAATACCACACAGTTTGTATATTAAGCATCCAGCCAATATAATTATTAATATAACATGGTATAACATCATAACAATATGATATAATATAATACAAAATAATATGATAGGATAAGATATATACTATGCTATACCATGATATGCTATGAGATGCTATGCTACAATATAATGTAATGTAATGTAAGAATGATATAAGAATATAATAATATATAACATAATGTAATGTAACATAATTATATCCTTGGTTTGTTTTACAGACCATCACAGAGGTCATTATAGAGGGGACCCTATGCTTTTATTTCCTCAGGCAAATACTGCAGCATATAATAATCTATTAATACAGGGAGGGAGGGATATGTGACACAGCTTCTCAGGAAAGTTAGGATGAGAGAATAATTTAAGTAATAAATCAAATGCTGTCAGCAGTTTAAATTCATAAATACATAAAGGTGAGTGTGATTACATTGAGGGTCTTCTGGATAAAGTTCAGTGAGGTTCAGCTCCTGCCAAGGTTGGGAAACTGCAGTACAGCCTCTGGATGGACAGCCATAGCCTTTCTAAGGACATTCCCATTTCTGCCTTCACCCCACAGTCACGCTCCCCAAAACCCACCTGGTCCAAGCTGGACTTTGCCCTTTGCTGCTTCTGGGGACAGGCACGGGAGTGTCACGGCTGCATTACCCAGCAGTTGCGATTGCAGTTTATTGCCCACCAAGCCTGAGATAAGCCCCAGTGATCTGGCACAGACCTGAAATGCTGTCAGACCCCAGCAAGGCTCCTGGGTCAAGATCAGCCTTTTCTTACCTTTAGTGCTCACTGAGTGAACTTTTCCCTCTGATGGCCTTTGGCACACGTGGGTGGGGATGAGAGCTTGTGGATTTAATGGCTTAAGGAGCAAAATGTGCAGGAAGGGAAAAAAATGGAAAGTGAGGGAGGAATGTCATCACAGGATGGTGAGCTGGGATGACAATTTGAAAGACAGAGGAAGAAAATACTTAATATCAGAGTTATGTTTTAGGGAGAGGGGTTGAGAAAAGCTGAGTATTGAAGTATCAGGAGAAGCACGTTTTGGTTAGAAAACACTTTTGGTTTAATGAGGCCCCAAAATTAGCTAGAACAGATCTCCAACCGACATGTTTGTCCAAGGAAGAACAGCAAGTGTCCACTTCTGGCATCATCTGTGGTCCACTTCTGGCATCATCTGGGCAAGGAGCATGGCTGGGTCTGCTCTCACACCACACAGCCATGTGTCCATGGGCTTCTTTTCAGTATGGTTTCTTTTCAGTCCTGGTTCCCACCAGGACAGCAGGTTTGCCATCTTTTGGCTTCTCTTTCTCAAAATGAAGGGCTTTAGACTGTGGGAAGAGAAGGGATCATTCCATGTACAGGAATATCCATCCAGGAATATGAACTTTGTACTGAATTGTATTTGCCCACACTTGGGGGCAACTTGATGAGGCCAGGTAATCCATTGCCTTCAGCGCCTCTTGGCATGGGCATCGGTTCTCATTTGTGGGGTCAAGTAGCAGCCACTGATTTGATGATAAAGAGCTAGATTTTGATATGGGAGTGGAGCTGTGTAATAGGTTACCACAGACATCTCTGTTCAGTTCAATTTATTACCTCTGCTAATTACTCCAATAAATCAGTGTTTGAATAAAACTTGCATTATTACTGTGAAAAACTGGAACTACCATTAGAGAACTAACAGGAAAGAAACTACCTCTGTGTGTGAGAGAATTTGTAAGACTTAGCTTGACAAAATACAGGACAAATTGGTAGATAAAAAAGCCATATGAAGCACACCAAAAGGATGGAGCCCCCTATGTATTAGCAGTCCATAGTCATTACTTTGCCAATAGCATCCTAACCACCACGATATGCTCACGAGTTACCTGTGGGCAAAAAAACCAAAGAAGACACGCTGCTGTCTCCAGATATAATGAATTATATGTGAAATTCACCATAATAAAAAAATGCATGTAAATCATGGAGAGCAAATTAAGCAAAGGCAGCGCTGAAGTTCTTGTGCGTGCTGGTTGAAGCAAGGGGGCTGCACGTGCAAACTGCTGTGCTGAAATCTTGCTGGTTTTTAGAAACAGTGCAAACACCTTCTTCAATTGCACACGTGCAAGATTCCTTCCCCACGTTTTAAAACAAATAGCAACCTAATACCAGGGCAAAAAATACACATATATTACCTGAGTGCATCCCGCTAGCTACTGAAACAAAGAAATACAGTTTTCCTCACACCCTGAGCTAGCCCCTGCAGAAAGCATGAAACGAATGGTAATGAGAAGCAGCTTCTGCTGTAATAACAACCAGGTTTTGCATGTGTGGAGCCAGTGCTGTTGGTTTTGCTCGCTCTTTGCAGCTCTCATGCTCCACCCTTCTGCTTTTCTTCTTCTTCTTTTTTTTTTCCCCAGCTTTTGCAGCCCGACAGAGGTTGAAGGAAAAGACATTTCCCTGAAAAGGAGTTGGAGGAGAGTCCTCGAGCCCTGTCTCCACTAGGTAAAGGACAGCCTGCCACACCACTGTAGCTGAAAACCATATTCCCCAAGCCCCGGAAGTACCCTGGTGATTGAACTGATTCTCCAGGTAAGTCTGCTTTTTGAAACGCTGAATCTTGGTAGCTGAGTGCTCCCTAACCAGGAAGTTAAATCTGTTTGAAGACAAAGCACAGCAGAAAATGGTGTAACAGCAGAGTGGGGAATGCTCAGCTGCTCAGTGTAATAGATACGCGGCTTTATTTACTCAGTTATCAGCCTTAAGCAGACCGGGCATTTTTGCCATCTGACTTATTTCAGATACCACTGTTGAAAGGACCTTATAAACACCCACAAGAGATGGACAAACAGATAAAAACTCCACACCAACATTTTCCCTTTAAGGAAAAGTTGTTGTGTGTGTTTTGCCTCGTATGGCAAAGTGAAAGTGTGGAAGAAACAAAGGGAAAAACAACTCATTTGCTGGGGAAGCTGGTTTAAAGTTCACATGGCAAGAACTAGGTTTCTGCCAAGTTTTCAAAAATGAATAGAGTTGTGGGGATGTGGGGGAAAGCTTGGGAATGAGCCAAAAGCTGAACCAATACAATCCCCTAAATAATCTGATAGTGGATCATTTACGCCTTCCTGTTGGATGTCAGAGACATGGAGGTGGCCATAACACAATAGTTACAGATTTCTGTAATGCTTCTATCCAAAAGGTTAGAACTGTAGATGCATTGAATGGTCTGGTTTGGAAGGGACTTAAAAGCTCATCCCTTCCAACCCCCTGCCGTGGGCAAGGACACTTTTCACTAGACCAGGTTGCTCCAAGCCCTGTTCAACCTGGCCTTGAACACTGCCAGGGAAGAAAAAGCCACAGCTTCCCTGTACAATAAAGGACCCAAGTAGCCAACACAGGGCACCCTCTGCTTCTGCCAGGATTTTCACTGCTTTCTTTATATATTGAAAATATGTCCAAAATCACCACACAATTTGGTGTGTGTGATTTTTCATCAGATTAAGAATTTAATCCTGTTGGAACAGTTGGACTTTTTCTTATGATTTTACCTTAAGAGTCATATACAGGAACATGAGAACATTTTGGGACCTCTCAGGACAATAACCTGAACAACATCGCTCCATATTCAGAGACTTCAGACATTGAGCATTGCTTGGGGAGGAATACCAAAAGTACTTGGCAATATCCATTCCTTGTTTACTTACCATCAGGGGCTGGGAGGGTTCGAGCTGCTTTCCATCCCGTGTGCTCATGACACACAGACTCCCATTGAGCCCTTCTCTTGTGCTGGGAAGGGTGATGCCTGGTCCCTTACCCATGGGCAGCCACCCCTGCAGGGGAGACTATGAGTTGAAGGAGCAAATGGATCCCTCAAAAATGATGTTATAAAGTTTAAAGCTCAGACCTTGGTTTCCTGCTGCTGCTGGTGTAGGGTTGTGATTAGCAGAGCTAGGGAGCTAAGCTGTGCTGTGGAGAGACAGAACAGATCATCACAACAGATGAAGCAAAACACCTCTCTCTGTGCTGTTTCTGCCCTAAAAGTCACCCCAACACTCTGCTCCAGGCCACATCTGCTACTACCAGCATGGAGAGCAGGAGCAAGCAAGACCCGTTCATGCCAGACTGCCTAAATAATGAAGGCAATACCACTTCAGGACAGATTTATTTCAGATCTGGTTGCAGAGAAGGCTCTGGATTGCTCTGCAAGAGTGGGAGGGTTTGTTTTCTGCTTCTGCTTTGCTGAGTCAAACAGAGAGTAAGGCAGTTCAGATCTGGAGAGGCTCAGTTCCTGTCATTTCTAGTGTGGAAACAGTGCTGCTACTGTTTTTGTTCCTTCCTACAGAGATTTGTAGCTTTGCTGGGCAGGAACTGTACTGAAATGTGCTTAGCACAGCTGGAGCCTTTCATCACAGCTGTAAAAGAAACAATTAAAAAATAACATTTGTGCTCATCAGCAGTGTCCCATTGGCTTCCCTCACTGCTAATACTCACTCAGTTGCCTTTGATGGGGCCATTAGTCAAATCCCGCTCATCTTCTAAGCAGGTCACCCATAATAATGAGTGCCCCATTACAAGAGATGGGGAAGATCCTTCCATCACTTCTGACACAACCTATTTTTTTTTTTCCACCATTCTCTCATCAGAAGCATGGACATCAAGGAATATTTCACCAGGATTTCTTACCAGGGCTCTTATGATAAGCCAGACCTGGGTACCTTGACTGATATATTCCAGCATCATATCCGAGCGGTCCCTTTTGAAAACCTCAGCATCCACTGCGGGGAAAGCATTGAACTGGACCTGGAAGCAACTTACAACAAGATAGTGAGGAAAAACCGTGGAGGCTGGTGCATGGAAAACAACCACCTTTTATCTTGGGTCCTGAAAACCCTCGGCTACAATGTCACCCTCCTGGGATCAAAAGTTTATGTCCCAGAGTACAACGCATATGCAGATGAAATCGATCATCTGCTGCTAAAAGTGGTGCTTGATGACAAAACCTTCATTGTGGATGGTGGGTTTGGGATGGCTTACCAGATTTGGCAGCCAATGGAGCTGATTTCAGGGAGAGACCAGCCACAGACTCCGGGTGTCTTTCGCTTCCTGGAGGAGAGTGGGGTCTGGTACCTTGAGAAGGTGAAGAGGAAGCAGTGGGTTCCCAACCAAAGCACCTCCGCTTCCCATAACATAGAAAAGGAAGTTTGCCGTCGGGTTTATCTCTTCACCCTTCAGCCACGGGACATTGAAGAGTTCCAAGCCTGTAATGCCCACCTGCAGACAGCGCCTGACTCGCTGTTTGTGCAAAAGTCTATCTGCAGCCTGCAGACCATGAACGGCATCAGGGCTCTGGTGGGATGGAAATTCACTGAGATAAGGTACAATTATAAGGATGATATGGATCTGGTGGAAATCAGAATCCTCGCAGATGAAGAAATGGAGAAAACACTGAAAGATAAATTCAATATAACACTAGACAAGAAATTTGTACCCATCAATACAAGCAGGTTGTCTCTATTTTAACTCACTGTCTGAATTATAATTCAACTCAATGGCATTACATGCATTTCATTCCCCCCACCCTGTTTCTGAGAACCATTTAAAGGTTAAGCTTTCTCTTTCCATCTACACCAGTGTAAGGCAGAACATGCTAGCATGAATCTGGAAAATAAATTTATTTGTACAACTGCCCCTGCCTCTCTTTTTGGTTTGGGCACAAATAATTTCCTCCCAGCTCAATCAAATCACTCCCCTTCTGTTTGTGCTTATCTGCAAGCGGACTCTGCTCATCCCCCTATTCCTTTCATCTTGTAAAAGCTTTTCTAAATACATGCAGAGTAGCAGGGCAGAGCAATGGAGCTGTACTTCTCTTTTTTATTACTTTGTGCTGCCACCTGGGGAAACCATACCCACCTCTTTAAATGAATACCGTATTACTTGTGGAATTTAATAGCCGGGAAAACAAAGACATCCAGTGCCAAGTCTGCTATAGCTAAGCCATAAGCCAATCCTTCTTGCTCTTGCATTCACAACACCCTCTCATACACCAGTTGGACAGTCCCATGCCTCTGCCACATTGTGTGAATACTTACGGACAGGCTGTTTATGTCCTAAAACTGATGAGAACCATGAGCAGACAATTGTCTGGTGTCAGACTTCACACGACTCCTGTTCCCTCAGTGTCATAACTGAAAAGCAGTATTTCTTTGAACTGAAAGCCTCTCCCATGCGTTCTGTTTGCTATCACCCAGCAGCAGCCTGCAGGGAGTAGGTGCTCCTCTCATAAGACTCCACTCCCAGTGTTACTGCACATTAATTATCAACAATTTTTTCTGGATTATTTTTCCTGAATTATTTTCCTGAAACTCATCTGTTCTACTGGGGATGTGTTTGCAGTGATACCAATTATATTGTATGAGAAGAAATGATGCATCTTAACCAGATAACCAACAGCTAAGATTTTTAGTACGAGAAATCCCTCAAAAGTGATCAGTGATCACTTTGACCTTTGAGAAGATGCTTGAAGTTCCTTTTAGTGCAAATTGTGGAAGCATTACAAATATGCACTCATGATTAAGAAAATTATATAAGTAAATTACAATTAAATAAAAAAATAAGAATTATGAAGTAGAACTATTAAGTTGTTTTTTTCCCCCAAAATAAAGTAAAAAAATAAAGTAAAAAATGTCATTAATCACCGCAGTTGTCCTAATTATTTGTATGTGCTAATATTTTGAAGCTATGACTTTTAAAATACAGTAACTCACTGCTTCTTTTTACTTCTGATGCTATGTGTGAAGCTTTCTATAACCAGCAGTTTATAGTTAATAAAAGCTGCTGGTTGGTATTCTGCATATGCCTTGGGTGGCATGGTTTAGTGGGAGGTGTCCCTGTGCATGGCAGAGGGTTGGACCTAGATGATCCTAAAGACCTTTCCAACCTTAACTATTCTGTGATTCTGATTCCACGTCCAAAATCTATTTCATAGAGTCATGGTGAGCTCCTAAATCCCTGTCTTCCCAGAGTCAAACACATCCATGCGTGCTTGGCTTCATGTGGGCAATAGTCCCCTACAGCAAGTGAGACTCCCCCACCCTATAGGGAAACGAAATATTAGCTACTGACCCTGTAGTAGAGTGCAGAAAAAAAAGGGGCTTCTTGTAGTGTGGACCAGCAACTTGCAACAGATTTTTAGAGGAAAGCAGAATCTGGCTTGTTCGCAATCTATATCCTTCTTTGGCCCCCATATTAGTGGAAGAGCTAAAGGAGTTAAACTTGGTGGGTTTATTCTTTCATCAGCCTGGGGAAGAGCATCAGGACAGAAGTAAAACCCAGCAGGCTCTTACGGAGGTATGGGGCAGGAAGAAGCCTGTGCAGAACCAAAAATGTCCGTTGTTTGTGGGAACAGACATGGGAAACATCTAAAAAGGGCTGCACACTTTTTCCTCCCTATGTCTGGGTGTTTCTCATGCTTTGGTTTGTTTCATGGGCTCAGGGAAAGGGTATAGAATCACAGAATTGTTTAGGTTGGAAAAGACCTGTAAGATCAGAGTAGGGCGTTATGTCCATCGCCCCAGATACTCAGCATGTGAAGGGCAAACAACAACGGGAAAACCCACTTTTCTTTCAGCTGGCTTATCTGGAACCTCTGTGACAGCTCTGGTTGCTCTGGCTGTTGCCTGCTTCATGGTACAGCTCAATGCCTCTGGCCTTCCTGCTCAGCACACCCACAGAAGCAGATCTTATTGCTGAGTAATTGAATGAAGCTCTCTGTTGGACATAAAAAACAAGAGGCTTTTCATCTCAGAGTGCAGTGGTTTGCTTTTTCCCTATCACTAACTTTGGAGACAAACACTTAAAGGCATAGGAGGCCCAGAGAGCACAGGGTTCTCCAGGAGCAGCATCCTTGCTGCCAAAGGACAGGGCTTCTCTTTGAACCCAAAGGGACTCAGCTAAATGACTTGGCAAATCTGACCTTGTTGTTTGGGGGTCTGGTATCATTCACAAAGAATAGCTCCGTGCAGTGTGGTTAACCCAACAGTTGCCATCTCCCACCAGTAATCAGTAACATCTGGGCTTATATGACTATCTTCCTATCTAAGTCACTTCCTATAGGGCTTCAGGCCACACGAGTGTCAACAATGTAAAATCTGAGTCAAAACTGGCACTATTGTTTTGCTGCTTCAGCATGGGGTCAACCATTGAGGTGTCCCAGAGATTGACGCACCTGGTTGACCTGTGGGGTTGAGGATGGTGTTATAATTGCTTACAGAAGTTGCTGGATAGACCCATACTGTATTTCTCCTTTGCACTCCTGAAGGGCTTCAATTCTTAATCAGTAACATAGGAGGTTAAAATTTGCTCAATACTGTAAGCAATTTGGGGACTGGGTCATTTTTAGGCTCTGTGTACAGTGCCTAACACAATGAATTTCATGACAGGGCATATGCCAAAACAAATAAATCAATTAAACCATCAGAATATAAACTATTAGGAAAGAAGAAACCCTTCCTCCTCTTTTCCTGCTCTCCTAGAGCATAGGGCTGTCCTTGCAGGCAATAAAGGCAGCCTGGACCTTTAAAAGCAGCAGTTCCAGGAACAGCTCTTCCTGGGAACTTTGGAGCAAACCAGGGCAGCAAGGCTGAGCTCACTGGCAAAGAGGTAAGTGCTCGGGTGTCTGATCTTTAACTTTATCCTCCAGCTGCAGGTCAGCCTGTTTGGAAAAGCCCACCCCTGTGGGTCTGCATACCATGTGCTTGCACTGGAGGCATATTAGCAAAGTATAAATTACAGCAACTCTAGGGCTGACACGCGTGCGTTGCATTGCAAGGGCGTTGTCCAAGTGCAAAGGTCAATTTCTGCAGACTTAAACTAACCCCTTTATGCTGAGCCACAGTGTATGGAAAACCCAGCCGCGGACTCACGGAGTAGCTAAAATCAAATGAATGGTATAGGCATGTGCAAGAGGATCCAACCTTCGAAGGCTCTCAGGAATTTTAGCAGGGAACTGTTCCTGATATTCAGCCTGATTCTGAAAGGAAACAGCAGTCCCCAGCTCTGCCTGCAGACAGGCAGAACCCACGCCTGAATGTCACTACCCACCAACCTGCATGAATGCTGAATGAAGCCTGGCTGTTGCAGGAGCAAAAGCAAACAAGGCTGAGATCCAGACTGAGGCTTAAGATACTTGGTAACTTGGTTTTGGAATACAAACTGTCCTGAGTGAGGGCTTGCTTGCTGATGCAGCCCCATCACTACCGAGATAGGAATGATTGCGCAGAGAGCAAAAGCTGCCTGTGGCAAGGAAAGGGGGTAAAGAGATTTATGTGAATGCTCCCCAACACCAATGGTTTTCTACTGCAGGTTTATTATACTTCAGCCTCTCTTAGTATTCATTGAAATCAGAGCCCATTTTGTCAGCCACCACGAGGCTGTCTCTGCTATACAGGCTTTAAATAGATGAGGCCAGATAAGGGGCAGATGGGGAAACTGAGGCATGGGCTGAGCATTTCCCAAAGTGTGTTTTCCCAAAACCTCATTGCCAGTGCCCTGTGGAAGCTCTTGATGGGGAGGTTGTGATGGCTGGAAGTGGGGAGCTAGTTATTCACTGCTGGGGCGACGGGGACACCCAGTCCTAGGAGACAGGTTGCAGGGAGGGCATCAGGTCTTCTGCTGCTGGCCCAGAGCAGGGACAGCATATCAGACCCACCAGGCTAATGGACTCACTTCAGCCCCTCCTGGTCAGAAGTTCAGCTTGACACTATCTCAGGGAACAGATGTTTCTATCTGGCTACACAAAATGGCTAGAAGTGGGAACAGAAAAGAAAATGGGGACCACATGATAAGCTTGCTACTGTACATGTGTGCTGTCTGTTGGGGAGGGAATGGCTTTGTACACCCAGTGTTTCCAAGGAGATCCTGCCAGAGATGAGTGCCCTTGTTGTAAAAAAAGTATGGAAAAAACCCATAAACCGCAATATCAAAGACACATTGCTGTTTTTCTGTGTAAGCTCTTGGTGTTCTTTTGAAGAGATGATGTTTATTTCTTATTCTTTTACCAGGATTGTCTTCTATTCTGTTACATTTTCCCATGATTTTGCATCAGCCAGTCTGAGTTCTGTTGAGGGTTGAGGGTATTTCCACCTGTGTGTTGAGATAGGATTTTTAAGAGCTCCTGGAACTTGCTTGAGTGCTGGCATGGACATCAGGTCAAACTGCTGGTCACTCCTAGGGAGTTGGACCAAAGTTGAGGACAGTTGCTGGAAATCTCCCATCTTATCTACATCAAATGATTTTTGGAAAATCCTCCCAGGGAGCATATAACAAATTTCAAGGAGCAAGAAACCATAGAATCATAGAATGGTTTGGGTTGGAAGGCACCTTAAGATCATTTAGTTCCACACCCCCCCTGCCATGGGCAGGGACACCTCACACTAAACCATGTCACCCAAGGCTCTGTCCAACCTGGCCTTGAACACTGCCAGGGATGGAGCATTCACAGCTTCCCTGGACAACCCATTCTAGTGCCTCACCACCCTAACAGGAAAGAACGTATTTCTTATGATAACCTAAATCTCCCGTTTAAGTTTAAACCCATTACCCCTTGTCCTGTCACTACAGTCCCTAACGAAGAGTCCCTCCCCAGCACCCTTGTAGGAAGCCTGCTATGAGGTCTCAGACTTTCTGGAAATACAGTCCTTAGCAAATTGTGAATGATTCTGGAAAACAAATATCCTTGCATGTAAAAGAAGTAATATTAAATCTAAATTAAAGTCAAAAGCAATCCTTGAAGATACCAAGTGAGTCAGATCATTAGAAGTGTTACAGGGAACCTTTTGCATCTTGGCCATCAAGCCTGTATGTAGTCAATGGCAATCTCTTATGGCTAATGGAAGAAAAGGGGTTCAGAGACATGAAGACATAAAATATATCTAATAAATTGAACTGAAACTAAGGGTTTTGGTTTGTAAAACATGGTAAAAGAAACAAAAAGCTGATGAATATACCTTGAATGTATTCTTAGCAATTATCAATTCATCTGACCCCTAGGTTAGGAAAATTAACAATTCCTTCCTTTCAACAGCCAGGGTCAAAGCTCTGTCTGAACTCCACAGGGTAACTAAAGAGATTAAGAAAACAACAATCTATTTCACACAGAAGCCTGTCTAAAATGGTGACATGCTGAGATGTTAATCCCAGCTAGCTGAAGCCATAAACGTAAAACTTCCCAACTAAATTACCTGTGGGATAAACAAAGAATTGCTTACCTATTACAGTAAAAGAAACAGCAAGAAATTGCTGTGACTTTCATGCTGTTATGGTCCAGCAGCTTTTCTTCAAAGCTGTTTTTTTGTCCTTTTTATAATTTTTTTGTCATGTGGGAGCCCCATCCAGGGCCAGAGATTCTATTGTGCCATGTGCCATGTCTTCCCATAGGAAAGACATCCACCTGTGTGGAAGACAACATCTGAGAGAGAGAAAGCATTATTGTCACCTGCTCCTACCCTCATCTCTTTTTTAATACAGATGACACAGGCAGATCCAGCCTGCTTTCATCTATCAAGGGCACAGGTTTCTTTCAAATCCTCAATGAAACAGCCTAGACTGCATTTGTAGACTGGTTAACCTATGCTACGGTAATAGGAGTGAGCCCCTTGACAGCCACACAACAGTAACTGGCTATTTTTCTACTCACACAGGCAAAATGAACATTCAAGAGTATTTTGCAAGGATTTCTTACAATGAGTCCCATAAGGATGCAGACTTGCAAACCTTAACAGCCATTTTCCAGCATCACATCCGGGCAATTCCTTTCGAAAACCTCAGCATGCATTGTGGGGAGAGCATCGAACTGGATTTACAAGCTATTTACAATAAGATTGTGAGAAAGAAACGTGGTGGATGGTGCCTGGAAACCAATTACCTTTTATTTTGGGCCTTGGAAGAGCTAGGGTTTGATGTCTGTATTCTCGGAGGAAATAGCTACGAACCAGCAGAGAGAGCATATGGTGCTGTGATAAATCATATCCTACTGAAGGTGGTGATCAAGGGAAATTCCTACATAGTAGATGCTGGTTTTGGTGGTGCCTACCAGTCGTGGCAGCCCTTGATACTGATTTCTGGGAAAGATCAGCCCCAGACCCCTGGCATCTTCCGCTTCATGGAAGACAATGGCACCTGGTACTTTGAGAAAGTCAAAAGGAAGCATTATATTCCTGAGCAAAGTGAGCCTGCCACTGGTACTCCAGAACCAGGAAATATCAGAAAAATTTATACATTCACACTTCAGCCACAACATATAAATGACTTTCAGGAGCTAAACACAAACCTACAAGTGTCTCTAGATAACATACTTAGGAAGAAGTCAATCTGCAGTCTCCAGACCCCTGAAGGGGTTTATTCCTTAGTTGGATGGACCTTCACTGAGATGAAGTATAACTACATGGAGGAAATGGACCTGATACAGATCACAACTCATACAGATGAAGAGGTTGAGAAGATACTGAAAGACAAATTCGGTATAGTGCTGGAGAACAAACTCACACCAGTAAATGTTCGTGGCTTGCCACCTAATTTAGTCGATACAATTTAATCCTAATGCTGTTCTAGATGGGTCTTTATATAGCTAATAGAAAAAGTTCCAAATTAACATTAATGGCATTTAATCTGATTCTAAAGTTGAGCTAATCAGGTGGACACAAAGCTTGGTAAATTCAAGTATATTGCTAATTAACTACATACACAAATTGCATGTTTTTTCTTAAACTACTCCTTTAGAAACTGACATACCTTACTACCTCTAATTTGCCCATATGGAAATAGACTTTTGATTCCGTAACTTTTTGTTCCACCTCTCTGGATTTGCTTTTATTTCAGACATATTTTGTGGCAAAGAAAACCGAAATGATACAGAAGGAGCAGCTGTGTTACCATTTTACACAAAAGACCTCTAATCTTTTTTTGGCATTATTTCCAATCTTCTTCTCAGCAGAGTTTTAAGAATTGTTCACTTCCTTTAACAGGCTGAAATGAAAGTTGAGCTGAATTTGGCTTTCAGAGACTTCATAAAAAAAAAAAAAAGAAAACGAAAAAGAAGGGTTAAGACCTTCTCAAAACAAGCCACTATTAGATGCTGATTAGCTTATGATGAAATAAGCTTAAAGACTTGAGTCCTATTCCCTTACCAGAAATTGACTTAAAGTGAGCTATTTATGCAAGAGCACTTAAAAAATCCCAAAAGCTCTCTAATTTTTCTGATTCTGATTTTTCTGTGTCTCTGGAACGAAATCAATAGAAGATGAGATGATTGAACAGTTCTCAAAAACCAGGCTTTTGGCAGCCAAAATGGAAACAATCAAAGTTAGATGAATGTTTGTAAACTATAATCTAAACTTCTGGGGCCTAACCTTCCTGTGATGTCAAGCAGAGATGACAGCACTACAGATAAAACTCTTCATATTTATTCTAAATATCATTCTGCACAAAAGCTACCTGAATTAAATAATACTGCAGATGAAAAAGAAAACAATGGGAAGTCAGAACATGCCACTGGTGTGGTTTCACAGTGTGTTATACGGAACACAAAACGATGCTTATGGCAGGTACCGTGTAGAATGTATTATTGAAGAGGGCGACAGGAAAGCATCAGTCCTTGGCCAAGAAAAAGAGACTGATGCTTGTATTAGTCAACCACACAGACTCATGGGGTACCTGATGTGCCTAAAACTCTCGTGCTTTCCCAGATACAGTCTGATGCGCTCTCTGACTTTGCAAAAGGGACCTCTGACTTCCAACCTCCATGAAGAGCAGACATGCTTGACACGGAGAGAATTAAATAAACAGCTCTGCAGTACTTTGAAGATGCAGAAGACCAAGTTTCAGAGAGGAAAGGCATTACTTTGTGCAGATTAGTATTTGTCATGGGATTTGTTATGCGTGGCACCTCCAAAATAACTCCCTGCTGCAGTTGAAGCTTTGAGCAGATAGCAAAAATTCCTTTGTGGGCAAAGAAGGGTCATTTTGTGCATCCGTGGAGCATGGGAACATGCAGCCTGCAACACCATGGCAGTGTCCTCGCAAGGAAGCAGATGACTGTCCTCCATCACAATGTGCTGGCTTCTGAAACAACAGTAATTTAATTTAAAAAGTTACAGAGCCATTTGCAACTGTCTATTGCAGTTAGTTTAGATGGAAAACAAGTTCATTCTGGTCTTGACTGGGGGAAACATAAACGTCTATTAATAGGAAAGAAACAAAGTTTAATTTGCTCATGGATCAGTGAAGTACAAAAATGTGCCTCCATGTTGCATGGACTCTGCCCTTTCTCAGCATTTATGATTCAGGAATAAGGGCCAGCAGAGATTAGAAGAAGGCAACTCTCTCAATTTGTACCCACTCCTGGCCTTACTGACTGCTGCTTCAGCAATAAACAACACAGAAGCTGAAGAACTTGATAAATAAATAAGGCTATCTTAAGAGGTAAGTTTATTTTCTTAAAGAAACCTCCAACGAAAAGAAAACCTAGTTTTTTTTATGATAGTAAAGGTTGTGGGCAATAAGATAAGTAATATACTCTTTAGGAAAAACACATGGAAATGTGTGGATATACAGTGAAAATATTATCTGCTAAGCATGGGCTATTAAAGAGGGTAAATCAGTGATAATACAGTTCAATTCTTTCATTTCTCGCTCTTCAGGAGGAGATTCATTTGACTGAGATTCTTTTGTTTAGATACAATAGCAGATACAAACTTAGAACTAGAACCTTTTGTTGGAAGTCATTATTTTAGATTTCTAACTTTTAAAATATTGCAAATGCAAAGGAAGCAAAAGAGCAATCTAAGAGTAGATACTGCTTTATTTGGAATAAAACCACAGTCCTCTAAAACCAACTTAAAAAATTTACAGACTGGTTGCTGTACCCCAGAAAATCCATGTGCTGATGTATTAGGATAAAGGTAGACAGATAATGTATTTTAACAGTGGAATTGCTGATAGTGTGCATAGTATTGGTAAGGTATATTTTTATAAGAGTACCTTCATTTGCACATTTAGAAATAGTTCTTTAAAGTTCTTCTGCTGAGGTTTTTCTCTGCATAAATCACAGCCACATTTGTGGGATTACCTTTTCAGTATCTAGTTTTTCATCTGCTCAAAATTCAAGAGAATAGGAGCTTTTATTTCCTACAGTCAAGATCTAATGCTGATCAATCATCTTATGGAACCACAGAGAGAGATTATAAATAAGATAGACTTGAAAACCAGCCTTATGTTGGTGTGATTTATTTAGCATTCACAATTTGAGCAGGCAGAATTGGATAGACTTGGATTCTGCAAATCAAAAGAAAAAAGTGCCATGAGTCTGACATTATACTTAACAAATATTACATTGAGCATATCCTCCAACAATACTCTTAAGTTTCACTGGAAGCTAAATTCCTCTCTGTAGAAAGGTTTTTGATGGGGCTTTCTATCACCTTTGTACAGCTGCTTCTATACCGTGCATATGCACATCATGAATTTGACCCTGAAAACCATCTTGAGAAATTCAAGCTTGCAGTAAACATTCAGCAGCTTGCTACTGAATTTATCTGAATACAAGTCTTCCTCAGTTGCTAATATTAAGTGTCTAAATCACAGCTTACTTTATGCACAGAGGATTTCCAAGTAGCTTTGCGGGTTGTCCAGAAGTTAAGTACTTGTAGTAACTCTAGACTGTTGAACCACTTAGTGCCATCTTTCTGAAGGTTCAAGCCTTCAAAACTTTTTGTGCCCAGCTCCATATCCAAGCAGACAATCTACAGTGTGTTGTACAAACAGCATCAGATACCTACAATGGATCCAGCTCATAACTGTGGCCAGCAGTGAAGGGCCATTGCAAAAGCCAGATGACTATATGTGACTTGCTAGGGTATTAGAAAGCAAAAAGTACTTTCTCATGCAGCGATCTTGCTCATGAGGAGTCCTATCAAGACAGTGCATTGCTGGAGACAGGACAGACAGGGATGCACTGGATGAGCCTCCGGCAATTCTCACTTACACCTGAAAACGAAGGAGTTTTGAGAAAGCCAGGGCTAGAGAGATTTAAAGCAGCTCCTGTTCATTTTCAGGACACCCTGTGAGATGCAGGGCACAGTGGAGAATAGAGATGTGCTCTTTGCCTTTTAAGGTCACTCACCTCCTTTCAGATTAATTATTCCAACACCAAAATGAGTTTGTGCAACACTCAGAGCAGACAAGAGGGTTGGTGGTCTGTGGCTTTTGTGAAGGTCAGAGATTTTTTTCAGTTATAATTATCTGAATAAAACTCGACACTTTACAGGGAGTATCATTCTCGCTTTTTGTAATTGGAGAAAGAGTGACATGTACTGATGAGCAATTCATTTACCATCAGTGAATAAGTGGCAGACTCATGAAAAGAACATGTGAATCCTGGCTCAAATTATCCTCCCTCCAACTGGCAGATAACACTGCTTCCCCCATTGACACTCCTTTCACTGAACAGTGGATTTAGACTGATTTTCATGAACCCTCCTGAACACTCCCTAGTGTGATCTTACATTTCTTCTCAACCCCTCTGTTACAATGCAAATGCAGCAAATCCCCATTTTGTAGCATATCAAGCTGAAACTGCATCAGCTCCTTGCCATAGGAATGACTGGAAGACAAACAGCAAACCCTCATATGTGCTGCTTTTCTTGCTGGGGGAACCGTTCGATATGAATACTTGTTACCCTTAAAAACTGCTCCACTGAGGTTCAGTACATTAAAGCATCTTTGCTGGCAGCAGCTTGGGCAGTTTTTCACAGCATCATACATCACTGATGCAAAGAAACAAAACCAAAAAACCAATTCCTTCTTTTACAGGTGACATGAACCTTGAAGAGTATTTTGCAAGAACTGGCTATAAAGGTTCACTTGAAAAACAAGATTTGGAAACCTTAACCGATATATTCCAGCATCACATACGTGCTGTTCCCTTTGAAAACCTCAGCATCCATTGTGGGGAGAAAATTACTTTGGAGCTGGAGCATGTGTATAACAAAATTGTGCGGAGGAAGCGGGGTGGTTGGTGCATGGAAAACAACCAGCTATTGGGCTGGGTCCTGAAACATCTGGGGTACGACACCAGCTTTCTGGGAGCATATGTGTTCAATCCACACCAAAACGCGTATGCCACCCTCATGACCCATCTCCTTGTAAAAGTAGTGATTGATGGCAAAGCCTATATTGTTGATGGAGGCTTTGGTGTATCCTATCAGATGTGGCAGCCGATGGAGCTGGTGTCGGGAAAAGACCAGCCCCAGGCTCCCGGCGTCTTTCGCTTCACAGAGAAAAATGCCATCTGGTACCTCGAGAAAATGAGACGGAAACAATATATCCCAAATCAAAACTTCTCTAACTCCGATCTTCTGGAGAAAAAAGACTGTCGGAAAGTTTACATGTTCAGCCTCGAGCCACGGACAGTGGAAGATTTCCGTTTCCAGTGCACGTACCTTCAGACCTCTCCAGACTCCCTCTTTATGAAGAAGTCCATCTGCACCCTCCAGACCACTGATGGCTTTCGAGCACTAATTGGGTGGACGCTCACTGAGACCACATACAACTACAAGGAAAATATGGATCTGGTGGAATTTGTAACTCTTGAAGGTGAAGAAGTGGAAAAAACCCTCAAAGAGAAATTCAACATAACCCTCGACAGGAAACTTGTCCCAGTTAATGTCAAAGGATTTTACACAATCTAGGTGACCAGGAAAACCTACACTAGTGCTATGTATATACAATACCTCCCACTGTCTGCACGATCACTACTGAAAATCATGGGATTCTTTGCAGGCAATTGAAGGAAAAATACATTAATATGAGATTAAAGTGAATTTTGCTCTGGGAAATATCAGTCAGGTAGATAAAAAAAAAAACTTAGGTAGATAGAATTATCTGTTGTGAGATGACTGCATTCAATTTTAGGCACAAATGTAGGATCTCATTTGAATTTGCTTATAAACTTGAGTGAGAAATATGTCTGGGGAATTTTGGAGTGCCTATAGCACATAAATAGGACTATGGATTATTAATTGTGATATGCTGCCAACACATTTTCTACGGTTATTATAGGGAGAAAAGTAATCTGTGACCATTTAGACAATGAAGTACACGTTTAGAACTTCATTTTTCACAGGATCTAACCACTTGCAGCTCATCTCACTTCTCTACCTTTGATATAAGTAAAACAATGTCATCCTTGAAAGGAGCATTAGGAGCCATAATTCTTTCACCATCACCTTTAGACAAAACATAGTACAAAATGAAAATTACCATCATGTGCATTCCTTTTGCCATTACTGCAGTAAACTGCCCAAAGTAATTTTTGGTATGTACGTATTTTTCTGGTGATGAAAACAATATACTGCAGCATTATTGTGGCTGATGGGCTCTAAGGAGATGCCTATAAGCTCTGCTTCTGACAAGTAATCATCCTTTAAAGGGTGAACAAGGCTTAAATGTCACAACTGGCTTAGATTTACTTCTGCCTCAAAGGGGTGGAAAATTGGTATTTTTAGCATTGCAAGCTATTTGTACAATGAAAGTGGAACAACAAAGCTAACCCCACTATACTGTTAATTCTGCCTCCCTTGTGTATAACAAACATGGGAGTTCATACGGGTATCCTGAATGAGTACCACTTGGCACAGATGCATTCACGTCACAAGTGAGTTAATTCAGCTGTATCAAAGTGAAAAAAAAAGTCAAGACAACCAAATCTAAAGGAACATCCTTCTTTAGAATCATTTCACAATCACATTTCCCCATTTATAAAACCCTGTTGTTCCCCCTACCCTGCTGCTCTGCAAAAAACCCAAACAAGGGAAACATTCTCAAATGCATCAAAAATTAGCAGAAAAACTGAAAAACACTATTTCTCCCTAACCTACAATAATCCTTATCATTGGTCAAATGTTAATTTGTCCTACTGATACGTTTAAGCTCAAAGACATCATGTGATCATGAATCTCACAAATGCTGTTAACTTCATACTTGAAAACAAATAAAGCAAAGTAAAACCATAAAGGAATTGCTTCAAGTACACAGTCCCTAACTGCTTGACTGCTGCACACACCATTTGCTAAGTAAATGAGGTCTGTTCAATCATGCTATCAATCTACTGGTCAGGACTCCCCACCACAAAATTCTTGAGCCAAACAGGCCAATATTGAACAAATCTGACAGCAGTGTTGCAGAAGGTAAGTTCCTACAGGTTCCTGGATAAAGAGCTCATAGGCTGAGGAAGATGATCACCAAAGAGGAGGCCCAGTGGTGGGCTTGGCAAACAGCAGCTCTGGGCTAGTCGTAGTGAGTGTCGGCTCTTTCCTGTTACCGGCCGTGGTGGCAGCTAATGGCTTGAGTGCTCATGTACTTGCACAGGGATAAGGAACCAAGGGCCAAGCAAGAGGTAATAGGGGACAATGGAGGCTCTCAGGTGTGAACATAGTCTTTCTATGGAGCTAAGAACTTCAATCTGTAATTGGTGTTCATATTATCCTCATACTCATACTAAGGTCCAATTTTACCCCCTTCTAAATGATTGATCAAAACAAGGTGGCCCCTGAGGTCCCAAGGAACATTACAAGCTTCAAAACACTCACCACCTCTGTTCTAGCTGATGGCAATTCACCCAGGTCACCAAACCATGCAGAATCATAGAATAGTATCATAGAGAATAGTTAGGGTTGGAAAGGACCTTAAGATCATCTACTTCCAAACCCCCTGCCATGGACAGGGACACCTCACACTAAACCATGTCACCAAGGCTCTGCCCAACCTGGCCTTGAACACTGCCAGGGATGGAACATTCACAATCTCCCTGGGCAACCCATTCCAGTGCCTCACCACCCTCACAGGAAAGAATTTCTTCCTTATATCCAATCTAAACTTCCCCTGTTTAAGTTTTAACCCATTACCCCTTGTCCTATCACTACAGTCCCTAATGAAGAGTCCATCTCCAGAATCCTTATAGCCCCCTTCAGATACTGGAAGGCTGCTATGAGGTCTCCACGCAGCTTCTCTTCTCCAGGCTGAACGGCCCCAACTTTCTCAGCTGATCTTCGTATGGGAGGTTCTCCAGTCCCCTGATCATCCTAGTGGCCTCCTCTGGACTTGTTCCAACAGTTCCATGTCCTTTTTATCTTGAGGACACCAGAACTGCACACAATACTCCAAGTGAGGTCAGCCCACCTCACAAGCATGTCAAGGTCCCTCTGGATGGCATTCCTTCCCTCCAGCGTATCAACCGAACCACACAGCTTGATGTCATCGGCAAACTTGCTGAGGGTGCAGTCAACCCCACTGTCCATGTCAGCCACGAAGATGTTGAACAAGACCAGTCCCGACACCGATCCCTGAGGGACACCACTCGTTACTGGTCTCCAGCTGGACATTGAGCCATTGACCACAACTCTTCGTGTGCGGCCATCCAGCCAGTTCTTTATCCACCGAGTGGTCCACCTATCAAACTGATGTCTCTCCAGTTTAGAGACAATATTTGTCTATGCAATGAACTCCAGTTTTCTCATGCTCCTGCCTTGTCATGAGGACAGCCATGAACAGGAGGGGTATTTTGCTTACCAACTTGCCTAAAGATGTTCCTGCTGTTGCTCCTGGGTAACTGCTCAGGTTATGGTATGCAAAGGTTTCTTGGGCAGAGGTCTGTGGACTCATATCAGCATTTTTAACTATGCCTGCAGTAATGGGGCGACTCAAGCCAGATTCCCCTCTTCTGCTATTCAGCTCTTAACTAAAGATCTACAGGGCTTCAAACCTCTCCCTGTCTCCATCTGTTGTCAACTACTCTCTTGACTGGGATTTTTCCTCTTGAGATTACAATTATAACCAGGTCCTCACTGTGCAATATCAAATCTCACAAAGAAATGTCAACACATACAGCGGAGGAACAGTTTCACAGTTTAACTAGAGCTCCCCAAAAGCTGACAAAAGCAGGTTATCTAGGTGTGAATGTCAGACCCCTAAATGCCTCAAAGTTTCCTGTTGAGAAAGGTGTAAAAACAAACAAAACCAAACCCTGAAACCTCATGCTGGGGTTCCATTAGCAAGGCATTACTGTCAGAAGCAGATGCTTTCCCAGCCAGAAAGAAAGGACCAAGTCCTTAAAGAATCAGCTCTGAGAGAAATCTGCATTTGAATGCAAAAGGAAAACATGGGATATTTGACATCCTCCACCACTGCTATGCTTTATTAACACTGAGAAAGGTTTCATGAGAGCCTAGTCGACTGTGCAGTTTTAGCTATTGACTGTTGTTGAAATGAACGAGAACAAATGCTTAAGAGCCCCACAACCAGGACTTGTCTAATTCCAAATACAATTTTAACTTAGTATTTCTATTAACAGAAAGACAACTTCTTCTTAAGTCTGAATGCTGGATTAAACCCCAGAATCCCAGCCCAGCTGCCCATTAGACACACATTCAATGCCCAGTAGCAATGAGAGCCACCCTCTACTGTAGAATTGCATAAGTGTCTTACTAGAAAGCAGGACTCAGAAGAAAGTTCAAATTCCATGGCACCACTGAACATCTTCCCCCCTACCCAAAGAATCAAAGTTTAATCAGTTCATGCATTAGTAAAGGGAGGATACAGGATGGCTCACTTCAGTTGGACTCTGGTCCTGGACTTCTCAAGATCTAATACTAAGCAGAATAAAAGCAACAAAACCAGAAACATGAGCAAGGAAGATGATGCTGTATGATACTTCATGTTCCAAAATGAACATTTATTACAATAAACAGTCAGCCTGTCAAAGAGGGACAAGATTTTACCTGAGAAGACACACGCTTAGCTCAACACTGCGTGAGCTGCCAATGAGCACAAACTACAATGCATGCTTTGCTTTGCTCGCTTTAATAGGTGCCTTGGTGTAACAGGCACAAACACTTCTGGTGTCTGGTAACTCTCTTCCCACTGAATTTTGCACGTAGCCATTCTAACAAAAATGCTTACTACTTACCCAACTTGCTTTTGTTCTCAAAGAAGAAATGCTGTTCTTTTAGAAACAAGGCAAAGTAGGAAAATTCTACAGCACAGAAGTAGCACATGAAAATGCATCTGCATTTGAGACTTTCACAGCCAAAAAGCTTGTATTAATGTAGGTTCACATGAGGAGTATTTCACTGCTAAACTTATGTCTCTGTCAAGAGAAGCTCAAGCACAGATTTTATACAGCAGAATGTTTCTACGCTGGCTAGGAAGCTACAGCCAGACTTAAAATACATACATATACATATTTATAACATTGGAAATACAGATGGGTATTTCAGAAGATCCCATAATAAAATGCCTGCTTGAAACTTCGCACACTGAAAACACATTTAAAAGTCAGGTAGAGATGACTTTTAGTTTTGTCTTGCTTATAATAACACACTATGAATGGTGCTTTTAAAGATGCATTGAATAACTCCCTATGAATAAGAGATTATGCTCCGAATTAGTAGTTGTCTCACTGCAGCACTTCAACAGCTCACCTAGCCACCAGCTAAACGTCAGTGTTGAGCACCCAGATTTGAAGACAATAAACCAAAATCTGTAGTTTCTTCATGGTCAGTGTTGGGCATGTTTAGGAAACAGAAGAACCACCCTTTTCCCCCCTAACCAAATTTCAAAATCATAAATTTTCTAGGAAGCTGTTTAGAGTTCACTCACACTCTTACCATGCCATGGCACTCACATTTCCAACTCCTTTACATGACACCACTGGAACCTTCTCCAATCCACTGTCTCTCAGACTGTGCAATTGCAGTGACATGTCCTGGTTGCTGGTGGTTCACTAGAACACTTTTCCCCCCCTCAACTATCTGCTATACAGAAATTCTCTCTCCATTGAAGGCATGTGTCCAGACAGAGAGCAGTAATTTTTATACTAACAAGCAGGAAATAATTACAGCATACATTCTGAATTTTTCTTGGGGTGACCAACAATAAATCATCTCTGAGCTCAAGTCACATCTTCCATGGGAAGAAAAACGTCTTGCCATCATTAACTTCTTTTCAGCTAGTAATAATGTATGATGAGGTTTTAAGTAAATCAACCAGTAGTGTTTAATTAGCTCTGAAATGCACCTCAGATCATGAATCACACCCTTTCCACCTGCACGAGGTCCTCTAAGTTAAAGGCGTATTTCACTTTCCATGCGTGATCCATCTTGAATATCTAATGAGATGCTCTTGCTATACAGATAGCTCATATATCACAGGCATAAAACAGCAGACACACAGTCTCCCTCTTCATATAACTGAGTTTCATGTCTTGCTTCACAGAATTGTTAAGAAAAACACCCAGAAACAGTCTTGTGCCCATAACAGAATGGCCACTACTTGCTTCAACTTAAAGGATTTCTCTTTGTCCAGAGAATCAGCATTAAGGATAAGTAACTCAAGACATCTCACTGGAGAAGTGAAGTAACAGAATTATTTCCTGTTGAAAGGCAGGATACAGAGAATTGCTACAATTAAAGGCAAGACCACACTGACATTTTTCAGAGCACTGACTGATCAAAGAGCAGAATGTTTCTGTCCTAACATTACATCAGATGGCTTCATCACATGCTGAACAGGAAGAGTCATGCAGTCAACTAACGTTTAGGGACATCTGTGACCAGCATAAACCAGGATCTCTTAGAATTTATTAAGCATTGTTTTTTTACATTAAATTATCTAAACCACAAGCATTAAACACACACACAAAAATCAATTTTTATTCAGCTGTTAAATGTTTCTGAAGTCATTATTATGCTTTTATGACAAGATCTCAATAACTATGATTGCATTTTTTTCTTTTGCTGAAAAAGAGACAAGATTAGCAAACTTTTTGAAGACAGAAATTCAGACACACAATCTACTAATGTGTCAAACTGTAAATGTTGCCCAATATTTGGCTTGCTCTATATATTTATTATTAAAAAAAGGTTTTACTACAAGCCCCATGATTTTTAAATAAGCTTTATAAAAAAATAAACAAAATTGTTTTATTTCTGTTCTTTCCCCATCTTATTTATAGCACAGTAAAAAAAAAAAAGAAAACACGTGCTCACATGTTTCTGAGGTCTTCTTTCAATTTGAAGACAGCAAAGGCATAATTTTCATAATAAATAAAGCAGTGAAAACTGAACTGCCCTACTGGATTGGACACAGCTTTACTCCAAATACTTATTTCGGATGTTACCATAAATTGTCAATAATGTTGCTCTCAATTGCATGTGACACCTACCTAGTTATGCACAGCGTTTAAAACGAATGATGGGATTAGTGCACAGTAGGAACTGCTGAGTGGTAAGTATGTATGACACCTATTAAATACATGTTTATTCATGCAGATGGTAAAAGTTCTAGTGAGAACTGACTCCGATTCACAAATCTATCCTTTACACTAAACAGCAAGTAATTCAAACAATCTCAGTTTGTGGTACTGTATTTGGTAGAAAATGTTTCTATTGGCTCCAGTTGTGCAGCTGGTATCAGTCGCGAGGTTTTAAGAACTTTTTCTTAGCTTTTTTGCTAGGCCTTATCTCAATATTCTCACAATTTTCTTCATCCATTAATACACGCTGGTCTCTTCTTCTCATGAATTTCTTCCCTACTGTCCCCACTAAAGTTTCGTATCTGTGAAGTTAATAGAAAATTTACAGCTTTTACTACAAACAGACAAAAATTCAATGGAGCAAATAATAAATCTAATCACCACCTTAAGTGGCGCAAAAAAGCTGTTCTTCAGAATTTTAAGAAGCACAAGTACTACATGATCACTTACTATACTGTTAATTTTGGTAATATGGTTTTGTTAGTAATTTGGAACAACGAGGAAATTAGCATGAAATACCTGGATAACAAAGGGTAGAAAACCCCTTTAAGATATTTTACCCCAAAATATCTTATATGGGGTTGGAGATTCTGTGGATGGAGATTCCACGGAATACATACCAAAATTCCTTGAAAATCAGTCCTGTAAAGTACCATATCTGCTGGTAGTTTTTCTGTTTTGTTTGCTTGCTTGCTTTTCGGGTTTATTTTCCCCACATATAATGCAGTAATATATCATATTCCTAGCTAATATTGATTATATCCTAAAATATAACTTACCTTCTGGCCATTTCTGTATCTGACACATCAGCCTCCATTTTATCATCCACTTCAATTTCTTCTTTCTTATTCTTAGAATTCATTTGGATCATTAACTTCTGAGAATGAAGAAAGAAATAGCTTAACCACACAACAAATAACTTGACACAATGGCAACTATGCTGAAATTCACTGGTAGGAGAAATGCATTAAAGATAAGAATCAAATTTAATAACTCTTTTGTTCCCAGTCAGGCTAGAGCATACTGCTAGGAAAACTCAAGAAGAGAAGGCAACATGTCTGCCTGTTATTCTGCTTAGCTTACAGTCTGCCTTTGGGAAAAGGGGCAACATAGAGACAAGGTATTAAGTATATTGTACTATTCAAATGTTCTAAAGGGGATGCCAGGCATCTTTGGGAGACCAGAGAATTAGATCATAATTAATTTTTCATTGTTATGTTAGCATACAGTGATCAGTTTTGTTAGAGAAGGAAAAATATCTGCAAGCATATACAGTAAATACCATGTAGCAATAATATGCCAAGTCACAGTGAGAGCAAGTTCAAAGTAACTAAAAACCTCCCAGTAATTCACCTTACACAGCCTTTTGCCCACCTCAGTCTTTACATCTTCATCCTCCTGCTTCAGTCCTGTGTTAACATTTTTGTTACTATCTCAGTGTAGTTCTACCAGCATGGATTATGTGAGAAAAAAAAAAAAAGGGTCTCTTACTCAGAACTTTTACTTTGGAACTTTAAGCCCTTACACAGGTGTGTTGAATGTTTTTAGATTAGACTCTAAATTAAATGGCAGAGGGAAAAGTGATCTATTGTTATGGTGAGCAGCACGTGGGACAGCTTCCTCACTTCGGGGAAGGAAAATCTGCAGGAGCCATGCAATTACTGGCCATCAATGCAAGGAGATAAAAAGCTTTTATTTACCAGATGCTGCACTGATCAACATTTTGGTTTCAATCATGGACTTTCTGTACACGGGATGATTTATGGAAAGGCTAAAAAGGGCAAACAGCATGCAGTCTGAAAACTCAAATCCTCATCCCCAAGAGCTTCAATCCTAATGCAAGATCACCTCAAAACATTTAAATGGTACCTCAATTTCTGGATTGAATCCGTTGAAGGACATCCTGCCATAAAGTAGTTCCTCGCATACTACAAAGCTTCGCTCTTCTACGATAAAGCTCCTGCATGAAACCCCAAACCCAGCATTTTGTCAAACAGTGCACCACAGAATAATCAAATTAAATGAATGTAAAAAGGCAAAAAAAAAAAAAAAAAAGCTTTCCCCCCAGTAAACAAACAAAAAAAAAAAAGCTTCCCCCAATAAACAAAACCACAGTGTATTTTAAAACATCAGCTACTTTCTGAACCTTAATTGCTCTGATAAATCTTCCAATACAAGGATCTTGGAGTGTAAAGGAAGAGTTCTTGCCAGTAAAGCTGTGCCAGTTCCACAAGCAAAATTAACTCTCCTGACAAAAAGCACTCTTTGCTGGTATGATTCTACCTACATGACTGTTTTTGCCAGAATAAAAATACCACATAAATATCACTCTCCAGGTGGCATTACTATACCAGCAAATGCTTTAATTAATTTTTCATTGTGATGTTAGACTTGGCATTACTGAGTCTGTCAGGATATAAAACATCAATTCTCTGTTCAGCAGAGAAAGATTTCCCCTTTCTCCATCCTTTTTTCTTCTTTTGATGAGCACGGAGTGAGAAAAGAAACATAACCCTGAGGTGTTCATAAAACACATGTTAGGTAAAAGTATTTCTGTGAATTTTCCTTCCTTCTTTTCTTCACACATATATGCTTCTCTTCCCTCATCCTCTTCATCTTCCATGTAAAACAAAATCCTACAGGCACAGGAAGTTCGGCTAAAGTAATCAAGCTCATTCTCCCACCTCAGGTAGGATCAGTTAAACATGTACCATGAACAGCAGAGACCCATATAAGCTGTCCAATGATGAAGACTCCAGTGTCTCCTACGGCAACTTACTGCAGTGCCTCAATAGCCTTACTGTTAGAAAAAATTCTCCCAATGTACAGCTTGAACCTTCCTTGCTGCAACTGAAGCTCAAATACCTATTTTATCAATGACCTTGTTCAACTGCAGTTCCTTGGATCCCAGCTTTTTAAATATTATGTATGCTCTCCCTCAGTGGCATTTTTGTCCTCTTCTGAATGGACAAAAATTGAGCAATTTTAAATGTAGTTCTCTTGCTATTTAAAGCACCTTTCACAAACAGCAGGAATGGACATTTTCTTCCTTATTAGTTAAGCCTTCCTTTATTTTTTGCCATGCTCTCTTCTATTTCAAAGCAGGATTTGAAGTGAGCTGGACTAAAGAAAACAGAACTGTCCTGAATGAACCCAACCGTGGGACTGGAGCTGAATTTACTAACACAGGGGTTTCAAACTTCCTTTTGCAAATGAAGGGAAAAAGCAGCAATAAATGAGTTGGTCCCTGCCTGAAAGAAACTAATTACACGCACCCAGAAGAATGTGCAAGTGAAAAAACACAACAGACCCAAGAAATGAAAGTAGGTCAAACTTCCCTAGGCAACCTTGAGAACATCCCTGAAAACACGTAATAAAAAAAGCTGTAATGCCAGTCTGTCACTATTTTTACTTCAATTAATTGGTTATTAATAATACTGCTGTTATAGAAAAAATATGTATATTCTATTACTACTCCACAACAATCTAATGATGATAAGAAGTACAAAAGGGTACAAGCTTACTCTTTCGCCTTTTTAACTGGCACATCAAGATACCAGTGCTCGTCATTAATGACCTTCTTTTCTTCTTCTTCTAGTTCTTTTTTAGTTTGTGCATCCAAACCCTTTTGCATGAACTACAAAGACAGACACATAAACACAGTTTCAACTTTTTGCAGCATGAGTATGTTCAAACATTCAGCAATTCCATGACAACAATTATCCACTATATAATATTTAGCAGCTGACAAAAAGTAAAGGTTTTTTGTGATTTTCCCCTGGGTTTTGTCTAAGTTTGGACAAAGAGGTAATGGAAAAGTAAATAAGAACTAATCACAGCTATTGGCTGGAAGTCACCAGTCAGCCACTGTACTTTGAGAAAAACAGACCTTTCCTGGTTAGTTTTGATTCTACAGGCTATTGAAATTCTCTAACTTTGCTAAGAGAGAACATATTGATGTTAGTTATTGCTGCATATCAGACACCAACATCACTCATACAAACGGCAAGAGTTCAGAGTCAGAGGTAGGTTATACCAGATTGCCCATTTTTTGAAACATCTATACTTTCAACCATCCTCTTATTTTCTACAGCTTAATTTAATAAACTGGCTTGCATTTGTAGCTCTGAAGGATGGAATGTGCCTTTGGAAGTAGAAGAAACAGAGGCTATGAAATGAAGTCTTCTGTATTGAGCTGTACTAAAGGAAGATGTTACCAGCTCTTAGCTTCTCATTGATGAACTGCGAAAGTACGAGTCAAGCAGTATGTGTAAGCACCTTAACTCACTGCAGAAACAGCCTGCCAAATTAGCTGAGACTAGTAATTTAGTTGCGTGTAAGACTGCTATTTTTGCCTAATACAAGGATATTCCTGTAAATTGCTTCCACAGTGACAGCCTTTGGCAGAGGATGGAAACAGGCAGATAGGAATGGCAATCTCTCTCACAGCTGCAAGTAAAAGAGGACATCTGCCACAATCTATGTAAAATCACCGAATGCAAAACTACCGACCTACGTGAAACATCCCTTTCACTTCCAGTTGTCTCAAGTCAGGTGCCTGAACTGAGTGACAATTACGTATTAACAGTGTTAACCAAACAGGATAAAAAGAGCAGAAATCTCCACAATCTTATGGCAATAACTCTTATGTTCTCACATCCCTAGGAGGTGGGACCTCCCTTAAGGTCTACAGGAAGTGCCTAAATAACTGCATCTGTACCTTTATACCAATGTAATTCCCAGCTAGAGGCAAATCTACCAATACAGTTTATATGCACTCCTGCAGAAAATTTGTTTTGTGGGTATCGAAGCATACCTGTATGTTCAGCACTGCAGGGGAATTCTACATCAGCTGATTTTACCCCTCTCATTTAGAGCAGCACCAATTTTTCTGTTTAGATAAGCCTGAAGGCTGACAGGTAACATGACAGTGGGGAACACTAGGCTTGGCCATAGTTTGGGTCCCAACTAAAATGGGCTTGGCTGGGGATAGATCCCAAAAAAGTGTCACAGAACACTTCCCTCCCACAAAAAAACCCAAATGTATTGCTGACTTTGTTTGAAATATAAACGCAATACAGATCTGTAATATATGTATTACATATATCCCACACATCTTTTCAGTCTTTGCAAAATGCCCCAGTAAACCAAACCAAAGGTAAAAGCCAACACAAAAGCTTCTGTGATTGTGAAACAGAAAATAAATATTTTCCATTTCTATTTGCATCCAGTGTACAAGCTCTTTAATGAAATAAAAATTGACTTTTGTTTTCTGAGTCAATTCAAAATCCATCAAAGCTTTCCAATTAAAATTACACTATCTTCTCAGGGAAAATAAGTGAATCTATCATGTGGAAAACCACACTGCTCAAGGAAATTGGTTAGCCAGTCAGAAAACTCAACAGAAGAAATTCTGCTACAAGCAGCCAATTAAATAATCATTTCACATTATGTTTTAAAGATTATGTTCCTAAAGATTAGTACATGAATAACTAGATAAAAAATATGTGATCACATTTATCTAAAATGTAAACACACATGGATGGATTAAAAATTAGACCCCCTGAGGTCTACAGAGTATGTACATCAGCAACAGAGTGGTTATTTGGATTAAGTTTTCCCAAGCAATCGCACCTGAATCAAATGGTGCAAGACCTAAAAGCATGATCCATCCTTTCATATCAAGCAGTGAGCACACTTAGCTCACACTTAGTAGTACTTAGTGCAAATGGACTTCACAAGGCTACCACTGACCACGTACCACCTTTGGATTCCACTTCATCAGCCTGCTGAATTGTGATAATACATCTTATCACCACCTGTGGAGGCAGCTGCTAAAGGATTAATTAAAGCATTTGTAAACAAGAAGATCTGCAGAAGGGAAGTGCTAAATACAAGATCTGTGTATGACCTTTTCCGAACCTTTTCATCTCTTCAAAGCTGGTTACTACTGCCTGGACTGTAAACCTGCAAATGTCATGGCAGCACATCCACAAGCTGATTCTCCACAGGCTTTTATGGAAGAAAATCTAAGATCTGGGTTGTGAAATCTCCAGGGGGGTTAATTAACTGGCAAACAACAGAGGAGTGGAAATTTAACTTTAAAACAGTGTTACAAAAAATAAGAAAAAATAATGATGCTGCAATCCAGAACTCTTATTCTATCATACACTGATGGCTAATTAAGCTCAACATCTACTCCCTTTTGACAGTGAGGCAAGCTGTGCTCCATTCCCTCCGTGCATAAGTTTTAGTCTTTCATTTGCAGCATCTGTTAATTGGGGTAAACATTCCACCATCTTACTGTAGCAGAGCATACTTTACGTGAAGTATTGAGCTGAAGTCAGCTGAACTCTTTCCAGGCAGTGTCTGAAACACAGTCCAGTATAAATATGTGGAGGGAAAAATGGGTGAATAAAACATCACAAGCAAGAAGCCACAAAGGCCCTGTCATACTCAGCTATAAAAAAAATTAATGGATATTAACATTTTAAAAGAACTTAATGGCAACTCAATTTTTACTGGTTGTTTTCCAGCAATAAAGAACCACCAATCACAGCAGCATGTACCCTACTGAATTAAGGTGGTGTGGTGCACAGCATGAAGCACAATCCATTAGCCAGTAAGTGTGGACTCATTTCACATTGGTTTTGACATGACAGACACGGTTCCAAGGGTAACAGGCACATCACAATGTTACCAACAGCACTCGCATTTACGACTCGGGAAAGGCGGTTAACACTGCCATTCAGGCTGGGTATTTTATCAGCCAGCAACATAAACAGTCAAGAAACGGACACTGTACGAAAAAATAAACCTTTTATTTCCCCTCAAGATTAAAAGCCGTCCAAAACGTAAACAACATTAATATTTTAATTTCAACGTGTGTGCACGGTATGGGAAGAGTTCTCGTAATTTCTGTATTCACAGCAAGCTCTAAATAAACTGGGTGAAATGAGGAGACTCTCAAATGGTGCCCTGAAGTTGGGTCTTGCAGGGCAAGAGCTTTTACGGAAATCACTAAGTTTCTTTCCTGGATGAAACCCTCCAGCACCATACACTTTATAACCGAGACCTCTGCCCAGCGTTTTAAGCAGTCCGGAACTGGGCGACAGCCCTCTGAAACTGACCAAGTTGGAAGGGTCCAGCCTGCACTGCAGGCCTGAATGAAAGAGCAAGCGAAAATACACAGGGATGTACTTTAAAGCGTACTGATGGGAGGCACGAAACAGGCCAGGACACACGTTCAGGATGGCTGACGCCAGGGCAAGGACTGAGTCCCCTCCTCTCCACGCCGCTCACAGCACGGCTCGGGCCTGCTGCACGCACCGGGCGCCGCCGCGGCCTAGGCATACGGTGCTGCCGCCAGCCCTATCCCTCCCTCTCTGCGGCCGCCTCACGGAGCCGGGCAGCTCCCCGACAACAGCGATCCCACACCGGGCCCGGCCGCCCTCCCCGCACTCTACACCGCGGACCAAACGCCGGGCACCCGCTCCCAGGGCCCCGCCGCCGCCGCCGCCGCCGCCGCCGCCGCCGCAGTCCTCCGCCTCACCTTCATGCGCAGCAGGTTCCTGGATAGCTTCATCTTCGCCTCTCCGGTCATTGCGACAGGCATTATCGCCAGGCCGCACTGGATCCCCGAGCTCGGGTAATGCCGAGGCCTCACACACCGGAAAAGGACCGGGAAGAGGAGGCGGTGGCGACTCGGCTCCACCCTCCATGCCTAGCCGCAGTGACAGGCCTCTACGCACGCCCCGGAGGAGTGGCGGGGCGGGGGGAACAGAGGGTGGAGGAGGCGTGTGTGGAAACAGCGTTAGAGCACCCCGAATGTAGAGCTGGTTATGTGAGGTGTGTGGAAACAACGTTAGAGCACCCCGAATGTAGAGCTGGTTATGTGAGGTGTGGGCTCTCGAGTTTATGAGCAGGAGATAAATCTGACTCGTATGAAATGGTAAATCAGTAGGGGAACCTGAGATTTATCAATGCTTGTGCGTTCTGTAGTGCTGCAGGCACTACAATTACGGTTTCACCCATAATATTCTGATATTTCAAAGACAGAAGGAAAGAGAGTGTGAAATCTACCTCATACTGGCATTTGGAGGCTGCTTGACTTATTTAGCTTTCATTTTCAAAATGGGCACTTGCAAAAAAAAATAATCACAAACCGGTCAAATGTAATTATAAACTGTATAAATTCAAATATACTGCAAAAAGACTTCAAAGCTTTGTTAGTCCTGAACCATGATCTTTAAATCACATCTTGGCAGCACTGCCTTTGGGCTTCCAGGCTGGGCTCTGGTAGCTGAAGAGGAAACGCTGCTAGGCAATTGCCAGCTGACTCCCAGTCACAAACAGGGACCACAATTTCTGTATATATCCTCATAAATCGTATTTCTGATGCCTGTTTTGACATTCAGCACATAAACCAGATGATAAAGCAATAAGAGTGAGGGTTCAGTGTGCAAAACTTTAATGCACTGGTGTGCTCCAAAAGACAATACAGGCAGAAAAGTTCCCGTATTTGCAAGATGTAGATCCAAGCTTGAAGAACTTTGTAAAGATTTATGCTTTAATAGAGTCCACAAAAACATACAATGAAGGGCAAAACCTGGTTGTAGTGGGAAAGGACAGATTAATCCACATCCAGTCATCCTTATTACACAGTTAAGCTCAGCGGGTTAAAATCACCACATCACAAATGTGAATGAAACATGGAGCCACAACCACTTCAAGGCAAAGTCATAACATTGCATGGGAATATTTGATTTTCATATGGGCAAGGTCCCTTCATTTCCAGGCTCCATAAATTAATTGAAGGTGCTCTGAAATTCCGGGTCACAGTGAGAAAGTCTTTGCGTGAGTGCAGGAGCTCTCCCGCTTCATTTGGCCCCACTGTGTTAGCTCCTTCTCTGTTCACTTTCTCATTAACAGCTATCAAGCCTTCCCAACAAAAGAAAGCTGGGAAGAAATTTGCAGTTTTGGGAATACAAATGTTCATTAAAGAATGAACATGTTTGAGTCTTAGTGAACAAACCAATAGGGGAAAGCTGTTAATTAATCGAATGGCACAGTACAGCCATAATCTGGACACTTTTCCGTGTTATTTTCTATTTATCATGCATTCTAATAATGTATTTGCTTTCTGTTGATCACCGCAGATCAGAGCTCTGTGTTTAATTGCATGGTCTTTAATGTCACTCAGGGCTTTTTCTGAGCAGTTTCAGTTCATTTACAGTCCAGGAGCGTACTTTAAATGATTCCTTCGAAATACGTTTCTGCACAGTCATCAGCACTTTTTCAGCCAATGGCTCTGCTTGGTGGCCTCTGCCAGAGCTGTTCCTGTTGCCCTGTCCTGCCTGCAGAGCAGCCCAGCTCAACACTTCTTCAGCAGGCTGCTTAGAGCTTTGTTTTGAATGCATGTATCAGCTGCCCAATACTTTTGGTGTGCAGGAGTGCAATACCACCAATTCTTTAATCTTTGGGAGCTGAGTAATAATGTACAATGCCGTGCAGTGTCTAACTGGGAGGGGGACAGTGTAAAGGGCTTTCAACTCGCCACAGGGATTATTCCTGGTGCTCTGTGATGAGAAAGGGCTCTGGGTCCATAGCTTGAGCCCCATTGCACCCTGTCTCTTGGTCTCATGCTACAGACTCACGTGGAGATGCTGCCAGTGTCTTGTGTGTTCAGCTAACAACCCACCACAATACAGGCAGGGTGAAGTGTTTTGCAGTAAAGGCAGTACAGGCTGTGTGATGTTTATTTAGAAAAGTGGAAATTGTAAAAAGGCTGCCATAGAATTTGATGTATTTTGGCAGTAAAAAAGTCTGAAGGAGATTTTTGGATTACATCTTCCATCTCTTTGAATTGGATGGAGTGGTTACAGATAGCAATCAGCTGTCTCCTGGACCAGATTATACTGTCTGGTAAATCTGAAGACACTGCACTGATTACAGGAGAAATTTTGTGTGATTTACTGGTGGTAGTGAGAAGAACCCAGCTCTATAAATATGCCCGCTTCTAAGGCAGAGCAAGGTGGGGAGAGATGCTCTGCTTAGGAAAGAGTCGAGGGTCATTGTAAGTGACAATTAGACACCTCTCCCACAGTTCTGACAACTGCACAGCAGCTTTGCCTTCATCCTGGAAATCCATTTCTTTTTCAAAACAAAAGTGCTCAGGGAAATAACTCAGGGGAAAGGAGCTCCATTTCATCAAAGACTGTACATGAAACAGGCAGATAAAAGATTTTTGTTCCTAGGAAATGCAGTCCCTTCTTCCTTTAGTAATTACAGAAGTCAAATCAAAGTTGTCATTAACATTATTTAAGAAATAATCTGTCTTGGAGCCACTGAAGTGACAGCTGTGAACTGATTTCATGCCAATGGGATCTAATTTGAGGGAACTTGTGGGTTACTTTTTCTGTAACTGTTTATTTATTCATATTCCTGCAGTTTTGTGATTTTAGTGAAAAATGTCTCAAACCTCACACCAACCTATCTGGTGATGTGATTTTTAATGAGCTGTCTTTGAATTCTGAAGCAGCTTTTTACAGCTCTCAGAATACCTGAAGCCTCCCCCCCCCCCCTTCAAATATAAAAATTCTTATAGTGTGACAGTGAATCATTAATTTGTGTCAAAATCCTTCACTGTGTTTTAAGTGAGGATATTATGTGTTTTTCTCTGTGAATGAGGAAAAGAAAATGAGAAGTAGAGCTGCCAGGGGTCTGTTTGCAAACCTGAAAGGAAGATGTGAAGTGCTATGTATGACTGAAAGGAATCAGGCGCTTTTATACCCTGTGCTCCCTATGGAAACTGTGAAACTCTCAGAGTGGTAGAGATGGCACAGGTTTCAAGTGGAAGACTTGGTTTCTATCTCTCTTGCTCCCACCAAGCTCTGAGCCGCTAATACATGCAGTGTATGGACAACTGCTAAGGTCCTCAGTGATTGGGGATTTGTTAGAATATTCATTACCCTTTGATGCATGCATGTATAACCTGCTGGCCTGTGTGTGCTGCTCATCCTGCTTTGTACCTAATCCACAGAGGATACGCCACAGCTCTCAGCTTCAGCGTGTGGCGTGTCAGCTCAGGCTGCACTGACTCATCCTCTTAGCTTTTGAAGTCCCCTTTCAGTGTTGGCACTGGTTTAGGTGGCAGCAGACACATGCAGAGTGTTTTAAATCCCTGCCCCATGTTCCTTTGCTGGTCCCAAGGTTTCCTGTGGATGGGGACAATATGGAAAGAATGAAGCAGAAGGTCAGCTCCTGTAATTTGGGTAACACAGATCCATATGCACATTTCACCACTTCAAATAGCTGATGCTTTCCTTTTAATAGCCTTATGTGGTTCACAATTTGCAATGTGAAAAGGTGTACCTCAACAAAGTGCTCGTAGCAAAACAGAGTTACAAAAAGTCCAGGACAACCAAGATGTGTCTTTGGAGAAAAATGCCTGTTGTCAGTCTAGGAGAAGACAATTTATCATGAATGCTTTTGGCTGTCTGGGTGGCAGGGTACCTTTATAGGAATAAATACAGTAATTCCTTTTTGATTACAGAAAAAAATAGCTTCATAATGGTAGCTCCCTATCTTCTACCACCACCTCAAGTGGTGGGGGGAGCACACACCTGTCTGTCATTTTGCTGGCATACACAGATGCCTAAAAATTTGATCCTGTGCTGCAATTATTTGATATATCCCAGTGCTAAGAGTCAGAGCAAAGAGAAGGACTGAAGAACAGTGTGGACTGTCCTTCTCTTTGCTTTCCTTTAAAAACTGAGAGGCTTTTAACTTTTGGGATTTGACGGAATCACAATTAAAAGAGAAAAAGAAAATACCACCTTCCGTTTGTTAAGTATAAAAATGCAATCCAGCAGTGCTGCTGGTGCTTTGCTATTTCCCAGGTCAATAAATGGCTCCCCTGACTTTAATAAACATTGATGCTGCAGGCTTGTTCTACAATGATTGAACCTTTTTATAGTTTCAACCACTCACATGGCATCAAAGCTTGACGATTTTTTTTTTCCCCTTTCTTTTTCGGAAGGGTTTCTTCTGATTGATTAAATTGTCATTTTCTGAGTTAGTTGCTGAATTATAACTTGGTATTTTAACTGTGTGATTTGTTTAAAGAGACAGCGTTTTGATATAGCAAACCAGCTGAGAATTTTTAAGCAGTAAAAGGGAATTTTACTCACTTTGTTCTCAGCCTTTCATCACTGCCTGACAAAAATGCTCCTGAAAACAATGTAGAGGCAATGATATGAGAAGGTACTTAGATTCACACTCCTCCTTTATTCCATCATGGAGCTGATCTGTGCAGTATTATATTGCTTTCAATTAGTAGTGAGACACCCCATTGTTGTTTATCTTTCCAAGAAGAAGGGAAGGAAGGGGGAATCAGAGACATAAATGAGAGTGCTACCCAAGGTGATACTAAGAGTAACTGACAGAACTATTCTTTGGACCAACTTATTTACGTTAATAGGCACAATGGATTTCTTTGCACCAAAATGATGGGCACTGAACACACTGGAGTCAAGTAACTGCAATGTTTTCACCTAAATCCACACTGGGGCTGGTTCAAATGGATGAACACCTTGTAATTCTTTAGACATGAAGAAAATCACATCCATGTGATGATGCATTAATTGTTTTATTTAACCAGCTGCCACATTCCTTCCCTGTGGATAGCTGCTTGGTTTCAAGGTCTGACTTA